TCTCTCTCTCTCTCTCTCTCTCTCTCTCTCTCTCTCTCTCTCTCTCTCTCTCTCTCTCTCTCCCTCCCTCTCGCTCTCTCTCGGTACGCTGGTGTGCTCTCTGTGGTCGATGATCATCTATTTCTGCACGCTTTTTGTTTCGAATCAAGGTGGAAAAACTCGCGGGCTTTGAGTCGGCGATGAACCTCAACGCCGGCAAGAAGAAGGCCGCCGCCTCCCGGAAGAAGAAGGACAAGGGTCAACAGCAACACCAACAGCAACGGAGGGGGACTGGCGGCGTGACTCTGGCCGAAGACGAGGGGGGGGAGGACGAGGAGGAGGGGGAGAGAAGAACAGCACCCAAGGTGACAGATGCCTCGGGGGAACGCTTTTCTCTGGGCGTTTTTTTTGTTTCCGCAACCCGTTGCCACTTGTGATGCTGAGTGTAGCGTTTTGTGTTTTCAGGAGCGCCGATAGACTTGGGTTTAGACAAAAACGACAGGTGCAGACAGAAGCAAACTTATCGCGGTGCTATACAACACACTCACGGTGTGTTGATTCATGCTTGCAAAAGCTGTTCGAAAGGTCTGCCTGTCAACAACCTGCAACTGCTCAAACGATCCACCCCGAGGCTGTCGTTTCGATCTTGGTAGCCTGAGACGCCCGCATCCACTCTCAGTGCCGCCAAAAATGTCCTATCCCGCACCGGATCCTTAAGACACACGAATGAGTTCCTTGGTCACAGAAAGCAAGAGTAACGAGTAAGCTCAAAGGCGAACGGATGATAGCCGACCACCGCCGCACAGATGGGCCGTCTGCCGATACCCGGACGCCTCCACCATGTAGTAGCTGACGCGGGTACCACCACCACATATGCCGCCGCCGGTGACAAACAGCCTTCAAATTGTACGATATTCGTTCTAAACCGAGGGCGACGTTCGTTGATCAAATAAAACAACTTTGTGGTCAAGCACACGTGTAGTACGTTCCACCACCACCTCTTGTCCCCCGACGCTTTCGCGAAACCGCAATCATTACCACTCTCTCTCTCGGGTGAATACCCACCGTTGTTCTACCCGGAACATGATACCCACGAACGAAAGCAGTAACCTTCGAAGGATTTTTCGAAGTATGTGAACATGTGGGATAAAGCATACAATCGGGGAAGTTGGGGTTAGAATTAGGGTTAGGGAATACGGTCTGCGTCCCCCCTCCCAGTCCTATTTCCTCATTAACTTGTTGATCGCAAGAAAGGCGGTCCCACGAAAGAGGGTTGGTTTGTTGGTTGTCGCTGTAAAGAAGCACTCTTGACGGCTGGAGTACGTTCACCACATTGGTGTGAGTTGCCCGGTGTACATGGGCTCGTGCCCCGTTCGTGCCATCGCCAGATGTACGGTAACGCGTGCCTTTATTGTTGAAGGTTTCTTGTATGGGTAAGAGCGGAGCTCCAGGAAACCGGCATGTCTGGTGCAACACAAACGTACTTCCTTCCAGGTATCTATTCTAGGAATCTACGGTTTTGCTGCAACCGTATTTTGAGTTTCCGAATCGTACCGCCGCCCCCCCGGCCCTCCCCTCACGCGCTTTCGTTTTCACGTGGCGCTCGGGGAAAAACGAAACATGAACAACAGCAGTCCGTGCCTACAAGCACCGCCGAATCATCGGCGATGCCACTCGCAAGACAACTCGCAACGGGGACAGCAGCGGCAAGCACAACTACCAGGGGGGGGGGAGGGGGCGGCGGCGAAGGCGGCAGCGGGAAAGCGGGCAGCGACAACTTTGTAGATCTACTACTAGACGACGATGAAGGCGGAAACGACCGGGGGACAGAGAGCGAGCTCAGGGGCACGGGGGAACCCTTGAGGGGTACGTCGGCGGCGACGGCATTTGGGAAGGGTCCGGGGGGGGCGAGTCTGGGGGCAGGTGGGGCGTCTTACAGCGACGAAGACTCCGACGACGACCTGCTATTGTGACCCGCTATCCTGGGCTGAGGAGGAGAGGGGCGGGTACTCACAGCCGTGCATGCCATAGTCATTAGGACATTGACCTCCGGGGGGGGGGAGGAGGCGTTGTTACAGTTGTTCCCTCATGATTGGTGTTCCCCTTGTGGTGAAGGGACTGAAAGCGGGGGCCGGCTGGCCAATGATTGTGGCGGCGAGATTTCGACGAACCGTCTGCGACCGTGTCTGGTGACAGTTGCTCGTGCTGGTGGTTAGGGTTGTTTCTTGGCTTGGTTTTTGCCTTGAACGGGTAGATGAAGGGAGGGGGAAGCGCAGACGATTTATTGCC